AAGTACCTCCACTCACTTCCCGAGACTGCTGCGACCCTCATCCAATGACCAATCAAGACCAAACTTGGCACACATAACCCCCATGCCCCCCTTTACGTCCTGGTGAGGGTTGGGGGAGGACGGACAATGGATGATGGGATTTGTAGTACTTTCTCACCCCATTTGTTCCCACAGACTACTGCGGCCCCCAACAAAGACCGATAAAGACCAAAGACTTGGCACACAGAGCCCCCATGACCCACTCTACATCCTATTGCTGTTTGGAGGAAGGTGGGCCATGGATGATGGGACTTGCAGTACATCCATTCTTTTCCCGAGACCGCTACAACCCTCATCCAATGACTGATCAAGACCAAAGTTGGCACACAGAGCCCCCATGACCTACTCTGCATCCTGGTGCAGTTTCGAGGAGGATGGACCACTGATGATGGGACTTGAAGTACCTCCACTTACTTCCCAAGACCGCTGTGACACTCATCCAATGACTGATCAAGACCAAACTTGACACACAGAGCCCCCATGATGCACTCTACATCCTGGTGCTGTTTGGGGGACGATGCATCAGGGACGATGAGACTCGCTAACTTCCTGAGAGCACTGCGAGCCACATAAATGATAAAGACCAACCTTGACGCACAATGCCTTTCTCAAATAGCCCTGGCAGCGCCGGGTCCCCAAGCTAGTAATAAATAAATTTGAAGGCCACCATAAGGTGGATGTGGTCCTTACTGAAAATGAGTTGGGCAGCCCTGCTCTAGACAATAAAACTCAGCCTATGGTGATGTCAGCGATGGGACTGGCAAATGTATCTCCTCCTATGAACCACCTCGGAGATTAAGCTCGTCAGTCTCGCCTCCTTTGCAGGTGTGCCTGGTGGGGACAAGCAACAGGGCCTTCTCAGTGGTGGCCCCTTGGCTGTGGAATCCCCTCCCCGGTGAAATCAGAGCAGCTCCCTCCCTCCTGGCCTTCAGAAGGGAAGGCTCTGGGATCAAGCCTTTGGAGATTAACGACAATGCAATAATAGCTATGGAATTATGTGCAATGACTTTGGGAATGGCCCTGGATTACGATTGTGGGCGGCATGATTTATAAACAATATTTGTAATGTTTTATATGCTTTTATTGTGCTTTTAATTTTAAATCTTTAACTTAATATATTTTAGCTGTGTATTGTTCAAAGGCATTGAATAGTTTATTGTGATGGGATAATGGGTTGGTAGAATAGTCAACGGAGAGGTTTTTTACTCAATCCTCCAAGGCAGCTCTGGCCCCATCTATTGAAAGAGTTTTCCTTTTGAGACCCTCTCCATTGAAGCCAAAGAGGAGTTGGGACTGAGCTTCTATTCTTTAATGTCAAAGGCTTTCATGGCCTGAATCGCAGGGAATTGCAGCACTCTCTGGACCATCCTCCAAAAAATTGGGCACCCCAACAAATTTGTGAACATTCTGCGGCTCCTCCATGATGACATGATGGCAACAGTCTTGGACAGAAATGGCTCCCAAGGTGACCCATTTAAGGTAGAATCAGGTGTCAAACAGGGATGTGTTATTGCCCCAACTTTATTTTCCATCTTCATCACTATGATACTTCATCTTGTTGATGGGAAGCTTCCCACTGGAGTGGAAATCATCTATCGGACAGATGACAAGCTATTTAACCTCAGCAGACTGAAAGCCAAAACAAAGGTTACAACAACATCTGTTATAGAACTCCAGTATGTTGATGACGTCATCTGTGTGCATTCAGAAGAAGACCTACAAGCCACTCTAAACACCTTCGCAGAAGCATACGAGAAGTTCGGCCTGTCATTGAACATCGAGAAAACCAAAGTGCTGTTCAAGCAGTCATCAGCCAGTCCCACTCCAATGCCAGAGATACAGCTTAATGGTGTAACATTAGAAAATGTTGATCATTTCCGCTACCTTGGCAGCCACCTCTCCACCAACGTCAACATCAACACCAAAATACAACACTGCCTGAGCTCTGCGAGTGCAGCATTTTTCCGAATGAAGCAGAGAGTGTTTGAGGACCGGGACATCCATAGGGAGACCAAGGGGTTTGTTTATAAAGCTATTGTCCTCCCAACCCTGCTATATGCCTGTGAGACGTGGACTGTCTACAGACGTCAAATGCAACTCCTGGAACAATTCCATCAGCGCTGCCTCCGGAAAATCCTGCAAATCTCTTGGAAAGACAGGTGGACAAATGTCAGCGTGCTGGAAGAAGCAAAGATCACCAGCATTGAAGCGATGGTCCTCTGCCATCAACTCCACTGGACCAGCCACGTTGTCCAGATGCCCGACCACCATCTCCCAAAGCAGTTTCTCTATTCCAAACTCAAGAACAGAAAACAGAATGTTGGTGGGCAGGAAAAGAGATTTAAAGATGGGCTTAAAGCCAACCTTAAAAACTCTGGCATAGACACTGAGAACTGGGAAGCCCTAGCCTGTGAGTGCTCCAGCTGGAGGTCAGCTGTGACCAGCAGTGCTGTAGAATTTGAAGAGGCGCGAATAGAGGGCAAAAGAGAGAAACGTGATAAGAGATAGGTGCATCAAGCCAACCAGGACCGCCTTCCACCTGGAAACCAATGCCTTCACTTTGGTAGAACATGCAGATCAAGAATAGGGTTCCACAGTGACCTACAGACCCACCCTGGAGGATTATCCTACTTGGACAACAAGGGATCGCCTAAGTAAGTAAGCGTGGCCTGAATCACTGGGTTGTTGTGACTTTTCCAGGCTGTATGGCCATGTTCCAGAAGCATTCTCTCCAGATGTTTCACCTGCATCTATGGCAGGCATCCTCAGAGGTTGTGAAGTCTGTTGGAAACTAGAAAAATGGGGTTTATATATCTGTGGAATGTCCAGGGTGGGAGGAAGAACTCTTGTCTGGTTGAGGGCAGGTGTGAATGTTGCAATTGGCCCCCTTGATTAGCATTGAATGGCCTTGCAGTACCTCCCAATAAACCCTCCCAAAACTTCCCAATGAAGGATTCCTCCAGGCAGGAAGCAGCCAGTCTCTGAAGCTGCAAGGCCATTCAAACTAGGAAAATGGGGTTTATATATCTGTGGGATGTCCAGGGTGGGAGAAAGAATTCTTGTCTGGTTGAGGCAGGTGTGAATGTGAATAGTTTGGATGACCTTGCAGCTTTAAGCACTCGCTTCTTCCTGCCTGGGGGAATCCTTTGTTGGGAAGTTTTGGGAGGTGCCCAAATTGTGGTTTTCATTGGCCAATTAAAAAATTCTTTCTCTGGATTCTCCACAAGTATATACACTCAATTTTCCTACTTTGAGTGACCTTGCAACTTCAAGGACTGGCTGCTTCCTGCCTGGAGGAATCCTTTGTTGGGAAGTTTTGGGAGGTGCCTAGATTGTAGTTTCCATTGGCCAATTGAAGAGTTCTTTCTCTGGTCATTCCACAGATATATAAACCCCATTTTCCTAGTTTGAGTGACCTTGCAACTTCAAAGCCTGGCTGCTTCCTGCCTGGGGAAATCCTTTGTTGGGAAGTTTTGGGAGGTGCCCAGATTGTGATTTTCCTTAGCCAATTGAAGAGTTCTTTCTCTGGACATTCCACAGATATATAAATTCAATTTTCCTAGTTTGTGTAACCTTGCAGCTTCAAAGCCTGGCTGCTTCCTGCCTGGGGAAATCCTTTGTTGGGAAGTTTTGGGAGGTGTTGGTTGGGAGGTGCTGCAAAGCCATTCAATGCTAATCAAGGTGGCCAATTGCAACATTCACACCTGCCTCAACCAGAAAAGAGTTCTTCCTCCAACCCCAGACATTCCACAGATATATAAATCCAATTTTCATAGTTTGAATGGACTTGTAGTTCAAAGACTGGCTGCTTCCTGCCTGGGGGAATTCTTTGTTGGGATGTTTTGGGAGGTGCCCAGATTGTGGTTATCATTGGCCAATTGAAGAGTTCTTTCTCTGGTCACTCCACAGATATATAAACCCCATTTTCATAGTTTGAATGGCCTTGCAGCTTCAAAGACTGGCTGCTTCCTGCCTGGGGGAATCCTTTGTTGGGACATTTTGGGAGGTGTTGTTTGGGAGGTGCTGCAAGGCCATTCGGTGCTAATCAAGGTGGCCAATTGCAAGATTCACACCTGCCTCAACCAGAAAAAGAGTTCTTTTCCCAAAACCAGACATTCCACAGATACATAAACCCTATTTTCATAGTTTGAATGGCCTTGCAGCTTCAAAGATTGGCTGCTTCCTGCCTGGAGGAATCCTTTGTTGATTGGGAAGTGCTGCAAGGCCATTCAATGCCAATCAAGGCGGCCAATTGCAACATTCACACCTGCCGCAACCAGAAAAAGATTTCTTTCCCCAAAACCAGACATTCCACCCCATTTTCATAGTTTGAATGGCCTTGCAGCTTCAAAGACTGTCTGTTTCCTGCCTGGAGGAATCCTTTGTTGATTGGGAAGTGCTGCAAGGCCATTCAATGCTAATCAAGATGGCCAATTGCAACATTCACACCTGCCTCAACCAGAAAAAGAGTTCTTTCTCCAACCCCAGACATTCCACAGATATATAAACCCAATTTTCATAGTTTTAATGGCCTTGCAGCTTCAAAGACTGGCTGCTTCCTGTCTGGAGGAATCTTTTGTTGGAAAGTTTTGTGAGGTGTTGGTTGGGAGGTGTTGCAAGGCCATTCACAGAGCTCACAACCTCTGAAGATGCCGGCCACAGATGCAGGCAAAATGTCAGGAGAGAATGCTTCTGGAACATGGCCACACCGCCCGGAAAAACTCACAACAACCCACTTCTTTCATTTTGCAAAAGGGATGCGACTCAAGTCGGCTCCTCTTTTTTTTGCCTCCACCGGGTGTGATGCAAAAACAAGACTCCTGAAGGCAGACCCAACCCAGAGGGAGTAAGGAAGGAAGGAAGAGAGAGGGAGGGATTGAGAGAGAGAGAGAGAGAGAGAGAAAGAGAGGGAGAGAGAGAGAGAGATCCAGAGCCGGGCTCTAGAACGGCAGGCTGCTGTTTCTGCTGCCGCCTCTGGTTACGCACGCCAAGCCAAGCCAGCCCTTCGCCTCCGATTCTGCGCACACCGGCAGACCCAAAGCCTGTCATTTCTGCACAACACAGTTTTTGCTTTCCTCCTCCTCCTCTCACTCCAGTGGTGGGGAGGAAGGGGGGGGGGCACACACAGAGAGAGGGAGAGAGACGGAGAAACACTCGCAGGACGGCGAGGAGCAACGCCGGGGAGCTCCAGTCCCTGAGCCGAGCATGGCTTCGGGGGACCTTTACGAGGTAGGGGGGGCTTAGAGCTGGGGGGCAGGCACACAAGGGGGAGGGAAGGAGGCTCAGGGAGGGAGCCAGCCAGAAATCCAGGAGGCACGGATAGCCGGGGCTGCTCTGAAGCCCCGGCTATCCGTGCCTCCTGGATCTCTGGCTGGCTCCCTCCCTGAGCCTCCTTCCCTTCCTTCCCTCCCCTATCCGCGGGGGTGTCCTCTTGCCCTTTCCTTCCTGGAGTTCCTGGAGGAAAAAGGGCCAAAGGGAGGAAGAGGAGGAGAGAGAGGCAGAGCCTGGCTGTTGCTGCCCGGGTTGGCAGCAGGGATGGAGCTCCTCTCTTCTTTCCTTCCCACTTCCTCCTCCTCTTCCTCCCTCCACTTTGGCTTTGCGGGGAGGGCGGGAGAGTTGGGTGTCCACCTTCAGCCACTCAAAGTCCACCCAAAGTGGAAGTCCTTGGAAGCAAGAGGACCTCCCAGGGAGCCTTCTCTCTCCATTGCCTCCTCCACCACCTTCCCATTCTAGAGCTTCTCAACCTTCCATTTCCTCCTTCCCATTCTAGAGCTTCCCAAACTTTTACCCCAAAGTGGAAGCCCTAGCAAAGAAGAGGACCTTCTCCTTCCATTGCTTTCTCCTCCTTCCCATTCTAGAGCTTCTCAGACTTCCATATTCTCCTCTCCCTTCCCATTCTAGAGCTTCCCAAGCTTCTACCCCAAAATGGAAGCCCTAACAAACAAGAGGACCTTTTCCTTCCATTGCTTTCTCCTTCCCACTCTAGAGCTTCTCAGCCTTCCATATTCTCCTCTCCCTTCCCATTCTAGAGCTTCCCAAGCTTCCACCTGAAGGGTGGTCCAAACCAATGAGGGGAGAGGGGTTATTGGAAGATGGAAGCTTTGGTGGCCATAGATATGCATCTGGGAGATTGGTGGTGGAAGGAGTTCTGTTGGCCATAGATGAATACTGAGGGGTTTTGTGGTGGTAGTAGTAGTGGGAGGAGCATTTAAGGCCCACAGAGGCATGATGGAGTAGGAAAAGAATGGTGCAAGTTGACTCTTGAGGAGACATCTCTGAAGCAACAATGGCCTCTTGGATGGCAGTAGGGAAAGATGGGGCTGGATGCTCAAGAATGGTGAGAGTTGACTTGAGGAGAAGTCCCTGAGGCAATGATGGAGAAGATAGGCATGGTTGCCCAAGGATGGGGAGAGTTGATGGGGAGAACCCATCTCTGAGGTGATGATGGAAATATGAAAAGATGGGGCTGGTTGCTCAAGAATGTTGAGAGTTTCCTCCTTCTCCAATTCCTCGCACCCCTTTTGCCTTGCCGGGAGGGCGGGAGAGTTGGGTGTCCACCTTCAGCCACCCAGAGTCCACCCAAAGTGGAAGTCCTAGGGAGCAAGAGGAGCTCCCAGGGCGCCTTCTCTTTCCATTGCCTCCTCCTCCCCATTCTAGAGCTTCCCAACCTTCCATTTTCTCCTTCCCATTCTACAGCTTCCCACGCTTCTAGCCCAAAGTGGAAACCCTAGCAAGCAAGAGGACCTTCTCCATCCATTGCTTCCTCCTCCTTCCCATTCTAGAGCTTCCCAACCTACCATTTCCCCCTCCTCCTTACCATTCTAGAACTTCCCAAGCTTCCACCTGAAGGGTGGTCCTAACCAATGAGGGGAGAGGGGTTATTTGAAGATGGAAGCTTTGGCAGTAATAGTTATGCATCTGGGGGACTGGTGGTGGTGGATGGATGGAATTTTGTTGGCCATAGATGAATGCTGGGGGTTGGTGGTGGTAACAGTAGTGGGAGGAGCATTTGAAGGCCACAGAGGCGTGGTGGAGTAGGAAAAGAATGATGAGAGTTGACTCTTGAGGAGATGTCTCTGAAGCAATGATGGCCTCTTGGATAGCAGTAGGAAAAGATGGGGCTGGTTGGTCTGGCTGGCTCCTCCTGAGCAAGAGGGCCTCCCAGGTTGCCTTCTCCTTCCATGGCCTCCTCCTTTTCCTTTCCATTCTAGAGCTTCCCAATCTTCCACCTGAAGGGTGGTCCAAACCAATGAGGGGAGAGGGGTTATTGGAAGATGGAAGCTTAGGTGGCCATAGATATGCATCTGGAGGACGTGGTGGTGGTGGATGTAATTTTGTTGGCCATGTATGTAATTTTGTTGGGGGTTGTTGGTGGTGGTAGTAGTAGTAGTGGGAGGAGCATTTGAAGGCCACAGAGCCGTGGTGGAGTAGGAAAAGAATGGTGAGAATTGACTCTTGAGGAGATGTCTCTGAAGCAATGATGGCCTCTTGGATGGGAGTAGGAAAAGATGGGGATGGATGTTCAAGAATGGTGAGAGTTGACTCTTGAGGAGACATCTCTGAGGCGATGAGAACCTCTTAGATGGCAGTAGGAAAAGATTTATTTATTTATTTATTTATTTATTTATTTCTTGCACTTATTGACCGCCACTCTCAGCCCTAGGGGCGACTCGTGGCGGTGAACAGCAACATAGAAGAACAGCATACAAAAGATCACAACAAGACATAACAAACTACTACTACGACATATACTTATACTAAAAATCCGCTTCGTCTAATCCTAGGGTCATAGCCAAGTTCGTAGTCATAGTCCATTCTAACGTCGTTCCACAGATACACTTAGTTGAAGGCCTGCTCGCAGAGCCAAGTTTTCAGGCTCCTACGAAAGGCCATCAAAGAGGGCGCCTGTCTAACTTCAGTAGGGAGGGTGTTCCACAGCCGGGGGGCCACCACCGAGAAGGCCCTCTCTCTCGTCCCCGCCAGACGTGCCTGCGAGGCAGGCGGGACCGAGAGAAGAGCCTCCCCGGATGATCTCAAGGCCCTCGTGGGCTCGTAGGCCGAGATGCGGTCTGCAAGGTATTTTGGGCCGGAACCGTTTAGGGCTTTGTAGGCTAACACCAGCACCTTAAATTGGGCCCGGTAGCAAATCGGCAGCCAGTGGAGCTGGGACAGCAGGGGCGTTGTACGCTCTCTGCGTCCTGCTCCGTTAGTAACATGGCTGCCGCGCGCTGGACTAGCTGAAGCTTCCGGGCCGTCTTCAAGGGCAGCCCCACGTAGAGAGCGTTGCAGTAGTCAAGGCGGGATGTGACCAGAGCGTGTACCACCGTGGCCAAGTCAGACTTCCCAAGGTACGGGCGCAGCTGGCGCACGAGCCTAAGCTGTGCAAATGCTCCCCTGGTCACCCCTGAAACCTGGGGATCCAGGCTCAGCGATGAATCCAGGGTCACACCCAAGCTGCGAACCTGCGCCTTCAAGGGGAGTGCGACCCCGTCCAGCACAGGCTGTAACCCTAAAAGATGAGGCTGGATGCTCAAGAATGGTGAGAGTTGACTCTTGACATCATTGTCTCTGAGGCAATGATGGAGAAGGTAGGCATGGTTGCTCAAAGATGATGAGAGTTGACTCTTGAGGAGACATCTCTGAGGTGATGATGGCCTCTTTAAACAGAGGCTGGATGGCCATCTGTCAGAGGTGATTTCAATGCAATATTCCTGCTTCTTGGCAGGGGGTTGGACTGGATGGCCCATGAGGTCTCTTCCAACTCTTTGATTCTATGATTCTATGATTCTTAGATGGAAGTAGGAAAAGATGGGGATGATTGCTCAAGGATGATGAGAGTTGGCTCTTGAGACATCTCTGAGGTGATGAAGACCTCTTGGATGGCAGTCGGAAAAGATGGGGCGGGTTGCTCTGGCTGCTTCCCCGAGCCTCCATCCTTCCTTACCTTTTTCATCCATGGGAGGTGTCCTCTTGCCCTTTCCTTCCTGGAGTTCCTGGAGGAAAAGAGGCCACAGGGAGGAAGAGGAGGAGAGAGAGGCAGAGCCCGCCTGTTGCTGCCCAGGTTTGCAGCAGAGATGGAACTCTTCTCTTCTTTCCTTCCCACTTCCTCCTCCTCCTCTTCCTCCCTCCACTTTGGCCTTGCTGGGAGGGCGGGAGAGTTGTGTGCCCACCTTCAGCCACGCAAAGTCCGCCCAAAGTGGAAGTCCTAGGGAGCAAGAGGACCTCCCAGGGAGCTTTCTCCTTCCGTTGCCACCTCGTCCTCCTCCTTCCCATTCTAGAGCTTCCCAACCTTCCATTTCCCACTCCTTCTTCCCATTTTAGAGCTTCCCAGTCTTCCACCTGAAGGGTGGTCCAAACCAATGAGGGGAGAGGGGTTATTTGAAGATGGAATCTCTGGTGGCCATAGGTATGCATCTGGGAGATTGGTGATGGTGGTGGAAGGAGTTTTGTTGGCCACAGATTAATGCTGGGGGCTTGGTAGTAGTAGAAGAAATGGGAGGAGCATTTGAGGGCCACATAGGTGTGGTGGAGTAGGAAAAAATAGAGCTGGATGCTCAAGAATGATGAGAGCTGACCCTTGAGGAGAAGTATATAAGGCAACGAACCCTTCTCCTCTCCCTCCCTCCACTTTGGCCTTGCAAGGGGGGGAGAGAGAGTTGGTGTCCACGGTCAGCACCCAAAGTCCACTGAAAGTGGAAGTCCTAGGGAACAAGAGGACCTCCCAGGGCACCTTCTCCTTCCATTGCCTCCTCCTCCTTCCCAGTCTTTCACCTGGAGGGTGGTCCAAGCTAAAGGGGAAGGCAAAGAAGGAGCTTTGGTGCCCATAGACAAGCATCTGGTTGGTGGTGGAGGAAGGAATTTTGTTGGCCACAGATAAATGCTGGAGGTTGGGGTGGTAGTACTAGGAGGAGGAGGAACACGGGAGGGCCACAGAAGGTGTGGTAGAGTAGGAAAAAAATGGTGAGAGTTGACTCTTGAGGAGATGTATCTGAAATAATGATGACCTCTTGGATGGCAATAGGAAAAGATGGGGCTGGTTGCTCTGGCTGGCTCCCCCCCCCCCCCCCCCCCCCCCTCCCGAGCAAGAGGACCTCCCAGGGCGCCTTCTCCTTCCATTGCCTCCTTCTCCACATTCTAGAGTTCCCCAAGCTTCCACCCGAAGGGTGGTCCAAACCAATGAGGGGAGAGGGGTTACTGGAAGATGGAAGCTTTGATGGCCATAGATATGC